CTGGCAACTCTACTAGATCCCAAACATTGTTTTTAGCCATAGAGTTTAACTCTTCTTTCATCTTCATCAATGCTAGTATCAAAATCCAACTCTTGCAAATAAACCACATAATCATCCGAAATAGAAGATTTTCTCACCCTTGTAGGTTTGTTTAATGCTATTCCACGTGGTTCATTTATATTAGTTGGTGGCAAGTTAGTCTCTTCATGGGGTGCTACTTCATCCAAAATTTTGTCCACCATTATTTTGTGGTTGTGGAACAATATTTGGTACAACTGTGGATATTGAAACATTAATGGGTAATGGAACATCAACCCTTATTTCATTAATTTTCACAGTCTCTTTAGCACTCCCACTAACTTCACCATTTTCAATAAATCTAGCATTGCCCGTTTCAACGATTCTAGAACTATGATTAGGACAGTAAAACATATACCCTTTGGATTTCTCTGGGTAACCAATAAAGTAACCACTCACAGTTCGAGAATCCAATTTCTTTTCATGTGGGTTGTATACTCGTGCTTCTGCCGGACAACCCCAAACATGCAGGTGTCTTAAACTAGGTTTCCTTCCAGTCCATAACTCAAAAGGAGTTTTAGGAACTGCCTTACTAGGAATCCTATTTAGCAGATACACGGCAGTCTTAAGTGCATGCATCCACAAGGATTTGGGTAATGATGTATTATTTATCATACTCCTAACCATATCAATTAATGTTCTATTTCGCCTTTCCGCTACACCGTTTTGTTGGGGTGTGCCTGGCATAGTATACTGTGCACATATGCCATGTCTTTCAAGGAACTTAGCAAATGGACCGGGATTTTGTCCCGATTCATCATACCTTCCATAGTATTCACCACCTCTATCAGACCTTACTATTTTCACCTTTCTGTCTAACTGCCTTTCAACTTCATTAATGAAAACCTCAAGTGCATTTGCAGCTTGAGATTTTTCCTTGAGCAGATAGACATAACCATAACGTGAAAAATCGTCTATAAAGGTAATGAAATACTTTTCTCCATTAAAAGATGGAGCATCAAAAGGTCCACATATATCGGTGTGTATAATTTCAAGAAGCTGACTACTTCTTGTGGCTCCTTTCTTGTTATGTTTGGTTTGCTTTCCCTTAATGCAATCCACACACAACCCAAGATCAGTAAAATCTAGATCCAAAAGAATCTTATCTTTCACCAACCTTTGCATTCTTTCTTTGGATACATGACCCAAACGTTTATGCCATAAGAAAGCAGAGTTCTCATTCGCTACACCACGTTTAATTCCAATGTTTTGATGAACACACATTAAAGATGCAAAAAAATCAACATCAAGTTTCAGTTTATATAAACCATCCATAAGAATTCCAGAACCAATAACGGAATCATGTTTATCAAACAAACTGAAACATCCATGTCCAAACTTAAAGGAAAATCCAAGAACATCAAGTCTAGAAATAGACATTAAGTTTCTAGAAAATGAAGGTACATAGAGAGTTTGTAAAAGATCCAGGTGGTGCCCGGAATCTAAAACAATACGATAAGTCCCTATTCCTTCAATTGGGGCCTTCATACGATTCCCCATAAACAAGAAGTTCTCATTTGGGTTTATGCTCTGGATTGTAAGAAATCCCTGCATCACATTAGAAACATGAGTTGTAGCACCAGAATCCAACCACCAAGTATTTGAAGGAACTTCAGACAAGTTTGATTCGAAACATACAAAGATATTAGAAATACCTTTCTTTTCAAACCAAGACTTGCGTTTCAGGCAATACTTCTGTACGTGACCTTCTTTTCTACAGAAATAACATTTATTTGCCCGATTTTCCTTCTTTTCATCATTAGTGGCCTGTGAAACTTTAGCAGGTCATTTCTTCTTAAACTTGTTGGATTTCGGTTTGAGAACATCATTAGCTCCTCGACCCACAAGGTTGACCGTATGAACTCCTTGTGCCTTAAGCCTCGTCTTCTCCTGAACAAGCTTACTGGCCAATTCATTAACATCCCACTTATCCTTAATAGTGTTATAGTTAATTTGAAAAGGCCCATATTCAGGAGGCAACGAGTTAAGCATAAATTGCACCAGAAATGAGTCATCCACAGTCATACCCAAGGACTTAAGCCTTGTTGCAAGATTAGTCATGTCAAGAACATGTTGCTGCATACTACGCGACCCATCATACTTTTTGGTCGTGAGTTCAGCCATAAGTGTTCCTGCCAATGACTTATCCGCGGAACGAAAACGCTCTTCCACAAGCAAAAGATATGCTTTTGCATCCACATTATCAGGAAGAGTTGACTTAATGTTGTTGGCAATCGTCATTCGCATAAAGCTCAAACATAATCTGTTAGACCTGTCCCAAGCCTTACGGTTTGATTTCTCAGCCTCACTGCTTTGATCATTAATGTCAGCAGGCTTTTCTTCAAGCAGAGCCAAGTTAATATCCAAAACACCTAAATGGAAATTGACTTGCTCACGCCATTCAGAGAAATTCAAACCATTGAAGACAGTAACAGAAGAAGCTTGCGAATGAAGAGAGATAACTGCACAATCATAAACGCTCACTTAATTAATAGATTCAGAAAATACATTCATCACATATATTGCAGGTCTCCTTTGGGTAAACACAACAATATATATCATTATCATAAGTCGAATGTCATTCAGCACTTAATGAGAAATTAAATAAACTTCGTCTAACGTACATAGTATCTTTGGATATCTACATACGCTCGACAAAGAACATTATATTTCTCCTTAATGTTTATTAGTTATAGAACATTGATTCACCTTTGGGTAAATCCATAATTTCTAACAACCAATAAACTCATTATCTTAAATAATGACATTCTCGAGAAACATAAGTTATATGACCAAACATTAGAAAATCAATCCGGCCACTTTGGTGACTAACAAATTGATTTTATCTTAATGTCATATAACAATTAATTGTAACAATAATATTATATGACAGTACATGAAAAATTAATTATGTCACTTTGGTGACTAACAAATTAATTTTATTTTAATGTCATATAATAAATCATCCGTAAACAGATATCACCATTATTCATATATTCACATTCTCAAATATGCTATTATGCATCTCAAACAGTTCAATGCACAACCATTACAGCATATAAAATGAATTTGCAACTGATACGGCTTACATCAAATGTCTGTAAACATTCGCAATCATGATGTACAGTTGGCCATGTTAAAGTGATCATCATAACATCATAAAACAATTAAACAATGCACAACCATCAAAAACATTCGTGGGCCATCTTTGCTACCAAAATTTAACCCAAAACCAATGCTAATAGAATAATGCGAAAATTGGATTATGCACAGTTATTTTGACAGCATCATGATCAATCATCATCCGTGGATTTTATTTCAGAAATTAAAATCAGATAACCAAAACAATCATATTTCTGAAGACGTTGATGCGGAAGCCCAGAACAAAAATTCATGGGTCATTTGAAGTGCATTTCACAGAAACAATAAATATAACATTCATCGATCAGACCCATCGCCCAAATACATATTAACAGATCGAAATATTAGATCTATCAATCCTTACAGGATTTTATTGCCGTATATAACCAAATCATATATCCACAACACATGCTCTGATACCACATGTAAACTTCATCAAGGATCTTGAATAAATACTTTGGTGTATACGAATACTTACTTGATGCGGAAGACGACATAATTAGTGATCTTGATCTTGATGATCACAAGATACTTGATCGATTCTTAGGACTAAATTAGTTTCTCCCTCCTGTCCTTCTCTTAACGTAGCAGAAAAACTGATGGAATAATACTGCGTACCCTAATAGGAGGAGAGAGGACTAATTTATATAGGGGTGGCTTTATATCTGGTACGTCCATTAAGTATCCAAATTAATGGCTTAGATTTGTTTGACCATTAATTAAAGACCTAGCCCAATAGGATAATTAATTGTAAGCCCAATACTTTCGGGCCACATATTCTTACAGGATTAACCCACCAAACTTATATATTGAACTTAGAACCTTTAGTTTTTCGATGTGAGATTGAATTTGCACACCCTACAGTTCCAATTGAGCTCAATACTATTCTGTTGCAAATTAAATTCCTCGTGAAGTTATATATAGTTGAAATTTAATGAGTTCAACAACATTTTTTTACAACAGCTTATCGTGGCTGTAAGAATTTTTATTTGGTCGTTTTTTCCTGCCAAAAATTTTAGTTGTTGGAAAAACTCCTGTTAAAATAGTCAAATCCAGCAGAACAACTGTCATTGGAATTTTCCAACTGAAGCCATAAAACTAGAATATTCATTGGTGTTACGTACCGTTAAAATTCTAGGAAGAACATTCAGGGTCAAAAGCCAATCCACGAGGAAAGGAGAGCAAAGTGAACTATATTATGCTAGAATTTGATAAATTTCGTGATTGTGTATCGGTGCTTCATGTTCTGAGGGATTGTCCCTTTGCTAAGGATGTGTGGTCGCGGTTGTTACAGAATGCCCACGTGGATGGTTTCTTCTAGGCCCCGCTTCATGAGTGGATTCGCTGTTGGAATGGTGAATCTTAATTGGTCAAGAAATGAAGTGAAGTGAAGCAGCTCAAGCTCAAGTTTCATATTTCTGTTTTCTTCAGTTTTTTTCTTTTGGTTCAAATCGTGCGTGCGCTTTTGTAAATAAGCCAGCTGTTGGCTTTCATTAAATGTACACGACGTCGTTTAGGTCATAAGTTCACACGTCGTCGTTTTAGTTTTCTCCTACCTGATATGCATGCATACGTGTGTGTATATATATGAGACAAAAACAGCTTTTGTACTTGATTTTCTGATTAATCAAGAATGGTGTTTTTCACCACCAAAAATACTCTGCTTTTTCACATGGTACGAGAGCAGTAATCTCTGGAAATCCGCTGCACCAGATCGATCATCTGAAGCTGAAAATCAAGCGATTAAAGCGATCGATCTGCTGGTAAGCTCATAGCTGAAAATGGAGCACAAACAAGGAAATCCATGGCCGCTGCTGAACACGAACGCAGATTCGAGCTCGAAAATGAATGCTTCAGATCCGCTCATACTCCATGGCTCAGATAATCCTGGTATGATGTTAGTATCGCATCAATTGACTGGAAATAACTTTTTACCATGGAGGAAGTCTATGATTATCGCATTAGGAGCTAAGAATAAACTTGGATTTGTAACCGGTGAAGTGCCTAAACCTAGTTTTGATGATGAGTCTTATGCTGATTGGAGAAAGATTGATTGGATGGTTTTGTCGTGGATTTTGAACTCACTGTCTAAGGAAATTGCTGAAACATTCATATCTGCTGAGAGTTCTAAGGAGTTATGGGAAGAAATAGGGCAAAGATATGGTGAGAATAATGGTCCATTGAAATATAAATTGCAGAGGGAAATTAATACCTTAACTCAAGGGAACAACACGGCTATGGAATACTTTGGGAAACTTAAGAAGCTTTGGGATGAACTAGCTTGTGTTGGGCCTGTGCAAAGTTGTAATTGTGAAAAAGGCAAATTGGCAGCTCAGCATGAGCATGATACAAAGCTCATACAGTTCTTTATGGGGCTCAATGATAGCTATGAGAATCTCAAGGGTCAGATCATGATGATGGAGCCTCTACCTACTATAAATAAAGCATATTCTATGGTTCTAAGTGCAGAAAGGCAAAGGAATGTGCAAAATTTATATGGTGAAACAGGTGCCATGATGGCTAGGACATGAGGAAATGGAAGGGGACAAGGAAGAGGAAATCCTACTGGAAAGCCTGGAAACACACGAGGCCAATGGAATAATATGAAAGGAAGAGGAACTGTTAGGATGAGTAAGGAAGAAAAGGCCAAGCTGCATTGTGACAAGTGTGGAATGAATGGGCACACAATTGCTACCTGCTTCAAAATTCATGGTGTGCCAGAATGGTATAAGGAATATAGAGAACAAAATGGAAGAGCATATGCAAATAATGCTGAAACTTACAAGGTTGAAGAATCACACTGTCAAAAACCATACTCAAAGGAAGGAACCAATGAAGGAGATCTGGCCTCAGTAACCAGACAGCTAAATGAACTGACTCAGTACATAAAAGCAAAGGAAGGAGGAAACCAAAGGATTGGATTATGCTCAGTTTGCAAACTATACAGTTGGTGAAGAAGAAGAAGGGGTACATTTTGCTTTATCTGCAACAAAGGGAATACATAATGATAGCTGGATCATAGATACTGGTGCCAGTAGGCACATTTGTATGAATGATAAGATAATGAAGAATTTGGTGAAACTGAAAAATCCAGTTAGTATATGTCTACCAGATGGAACTCTCAAAACAGTGGACAGTGGAGGAGAAGTAAACATTAGTGAGGAAGTGGTGCTGAAGGATGTGCTGTATATGCCCACATTCAAGTATAATCTGATGTCAGTGATGCAATTGTGTGCAAACAGTGATTTATCATGGACTTTCACTGGATTTCATTGCTACTTACAAGACCAACTGAATGAGAGGATGCTGGGATATGGAGAAATGATGGGAAATCTGTATATCTGGAAAAATGAAAGTACAGAAGAAAGGGTTTGTAATGCCAGTATAGAATCCTGGCATAGGAACTTGGGTCATGCTTCTTACTCAGCTCTTAAACACCTGCAGTTTCTGAAGGGAAAGTGCAACAAAGATAGTGAAGAAATGCTGCACAAGTGTGAAATATGTCAGAAGGCAAAACAACATAGACAACCTTTTGGGAACAGTAGCATACAAACCAGTCAATGTTTTGAACTAATACATGTGGATATATGGGGACCATGCAAGGATGAAAGGTTAGTTGATACACCTTACTTTCTTACCATAGTGGATGAATACAGCAGAGGCACTTGGGTGTTACTTATGGGACACAAGTCAAAAGCAAGAAAGTTGTTGAAATGTTTTGTGGCTATGGCAGAAACACAATATGGTTCTGTGGTCAAAAGGCTGAGGTTTGATAATGGGCAAGAGTTAATGGGAACATAATTTCAGAATTTTCTTAAGGAGAAAGGGATCTTGCATGAAACCACATGTGTCTACACTCCTCAGCAGAATGGAGTAGTAGAAAGAAAGCATAGGCACTTGCTAGATGTGACAAGGGCACTGATTTTTCAAGCAGGCATGCCCACAAAGTTTTGGCCATTTGTTGTTCTTACAGCTGCTTTTGTGATTAACAGAACACCTAGCTCAGTTTTGAACTGGGAAACACCTTTTGAAAGGTTAAACAAAACACCAGTTGACTATGGGAACTTGAAACCATTTGGATGCCTGTGCTATGCAGCTAACACTGTGCCACACAAGTCTAAGTTTGACAGAAGAGGTATAAAATGTGCTTTCCTTGGATATATTATTGAGAAGAAAGGTTATAGGCTTTATGATATGGACACAGGAGATGTGTTTGTTGCCAGAGATGTTATTTTTTTTTAGGAACAATTCCCTTTTGCAACTGAATCTGAACATGGGCAATGTCTTATACCACTTCCAGTAGAGGATGATGGTGGGCTAGAAACATCCTCAGAACATACTAGTAAGGAGGAAGACTTAAGTACACCCAACATGGATGGAAGTATGAGAAGAAGCATGAGACAAAGGGAAGCACCAGTGTGGCAAAAAGACTATATTTGCAACAGCATACCTCATATTACAATTCCTCAACCAGAAAACTTTGCAGCTTATATGAGCAGAATAGAAATGGACAAAGAACCAACACACTATGGTGAGGTTAGCAGACTTCCAGCATGGAGAGAAGCCATGCAAAAGGAACTAGAAGCTCTTGAACATAATCACACTTGGGAAATTACAGATCTACCTCCTGATAAAAAGGCCATAGGTTCTAAATGGGTCTTTAAGATTAAGAGAAAAGCAGATGGGTCAGTTGAGAGGTTCAAAGCAAGATTGGTAGCTAAAGGATATAATCAAGTCCAAGGGGTGGATTACTTTGACATTTTTTCTCCAGTTGCAAAGTTGGTGACTGTGAGGATCTTCATAGCCATGGCAGTACAACAGAATTGGGAACTCCACCAACTAGATGTGAATAATGCCTTCTTGCATGGGCATTTATCTGAAGAAGTCTATATGAAGCCACCATTGGGATATTTCAAGGCTACAGATGGAAAGGTTTGCAAGTTAGTTAGGAGCTTGTATGGTCTCAAGCAGGCTTCAAAAGAATGGAATAATGAGTTGTGTACCAAACTGTCTGCTTTTGGGTTACTTCAATCTAAGTATGACCACTGTTTATTCACCATGAAGAGAGGCACTGATTTTTTTGCCACTTTGGTATATGTGGATGATGTTTTGATTACAAGCTTAAGTGGTTTGCTGATCAAAGAGTTGAAACAGTTTTTGGATACAACTTTTAGCATCAAAGACTTGGGGATAGCAAAATTTTTTCTTGGGGTTGAAATAAGAAACACTGCTGATGGTGTTCTTCTTAGTCAAAAGAAATATGTCCTTGACCTGCTAGGGGATGCAGGTTTATTAGACTGCAAAGGTGCCTCAACACCACTTCCACATGGGCTGAAATTAACTATGACGGAAGGATTACCACTTGATGAACCAGAAAAGTACAGGAGGCTTAGGTTGCTCTACATTAATATGACAAGGCCTGATGTTACTTATGTTGTGCAACAACTTAGCCAGTTTGTCACCAATCCTCTTAGCACACATTGTGATGTAGCACTTCACATTCTCAGATATTTGAAAGGCACTGCAGATTTGGGACTCCATTTTCCATCAGGTAACTCTAAGGTGTTAACCTCCTACTGTGATGCAGACTGGGCTACTTGTAAGGACACTAGGAGGTCCATTACTGGTTATTGTGTTTTTATGGGAGGAGCACTGATATCATGGAAAAGCAAGAAACAACACACAGTCTCACGTTCCTCAGCTGAAGCAGAATATCGCTCTATGAGTGCTCTAGTGGCTGAACTTCTTTGGATTAGCTATATTGCACAGGATTTTCATCTTGATCTCACCTACCCTGTACCCTTATGATGTGACAACAAAGCTGCATTACATATCAGTGCCAACCCCGTCTTCCATGAAAGGACCAAGCATTTAGAGATTGATTGTCACTTTGTGAGGGATAAGTTCAAGACAGGTTTTGTTGCCCCTATGTTTATCCCTTCGAAGTACCAATGTACAGATATTTTTACTAAGCTACTTACTGGAGCTCAGTTCCAGAGTTTGATTGCCAAGTTGGGCTTGGTTTGCATTTCCCCTGGCCCAACTTGAGGGGGGGCTATTGGAATGGTGAATCTTACTTGGTCAAGAAATGAAGTGATGTGAAGCAGCTCAAGCTCAAGTTTCATATTTCTGTTTTCTTCGATTTTTTTCTTTTGGTTCATAATCGTGCGTGCGCTTTTGTAAATAAGCCAGCTGTTGGCTTTCATTAAATGTACACAACGTCGTTTAGGTCATAAGTTCACACGACGTCGTTTTAGTTTTCTCCTACCTGATATGCATGTTGTGTGTATATATATGAGACAAAAACAGCTTTTGTACTTGATTTTCTGATTAATCAAAAATGGTGTTTTTCACCACCAAAAATACTCTGCTTTTTCACATTCGCCGAAATCTACTAAGATGCCGGCAGGGGACTTTTGGTAACTGGTGTAATGTTTTTCCAGTAGCCGTATGGTGCATGTGGACGTGGCGGAACGAGCGGATTTTTCAGAACAAAGTCGCTAGTAGCGAGGCGCGGAAGTTGGAGGTTATACACCGTACGGAAACCTATGCACGAGCAACTGCAGCTTTCTCGCGGGTCGAGGCTGCAACATATATTACTCGTTTATTCGGTGGTCCCCTCCGGTGTCGAGGTGGGTCAAAGTAAATACAGATGAAGCTTTTAGCAAGCCTACGAGATTGAGTAGTGCGGGTGGTTTGATTCGAGATGAGATGGGGCGTTGGATTGGAGGGTTTATTATGAATATTGGCTCATGTACTATCACGGGAGACGAGCTCTGGAGCTGTTTCAGGGATTGATCTTGGCGTGGGACCGGGGACATCGTTCTGTTATTGCCGAGGTCGATAGTCAGTGCGTTACGAACATGATATCTCAAGTGGATGGCTCTTTCGAGAATCATGAGGCCATGGTCAGGCAATTAAAGAACTAATTTCTCGAGAGTGGACGGTGCGACTTCAGCATGTTCATAGGGAAGCGAACGTAGTGGCGGATCATTTGGCGAGCTTGGCGGCTTCCCATCCGATCGGTGTGCACCATCTCTCTTTGCCACCTCTAGGGGTGGGAGAATGGCTCCAACAAGATAACATTGGGGTGGCGTACTCCCGACAAGTTTTAGCCTAGGCCTTTGGCCTCTTTTTTTGCAAAAAAAA